CTTGCTTCCCAGTACAAGTGTGGGGGAAACTGTAAAACTGAGAGGAAAAGGAAGATTGGGGGGAATGTAGGGGGGTGGGAAATACAATTAGAGCTCTGGGTGTTTGTCCCTTAAAAAAATGTAAGGTGACAAAGTGGTTAATGTCTTTGCAGGTTGGTGTTGATATCGAGAATCTTACTGCCACAGTCCAAATAGAGTACTAATTACTGCGAATGATGTCACCGTAGGCAGAGGAATAATCCCATCATTTAATTAGTTGAATGATTTAAACAAAGATTTGCATAGATGCACTAATCAGTTGCCATGAATTACAGAGCAGCAGTTGCCAGCGAGGGGTAACAGATCATACAGTTGGAGGGAAAAAAATCTCATCTCCTTGAACATAATTAATTTAATTGTCCTCATTAGCTGTACCATTTGTTTTGATTTTATTTCTCCCTTTCCCCACACATACTTCTCCCTCCCTCCCTCTTTCCTTCTTCTCAGTGCATTGGCTGAGAGAGAGCACGCATGAGACACACACACACACACACAGACACACTGGGGTGTTTTCAGAGTGGCTGGAGCAGAGAGGTGGGGTACAACAGCGGGAGCCGTGCGGATGGGTGAGGTGCATGTGTGCCTGCTTAGACGGGCCAGAAAAGCCAAACTTAAGAAATCAGCCTATGTCCAGAGCAAATCAACTGAAGGGGTTCTTACTAATCCGCCGTCTGTGACTTTCGTTATTTTTCAGGTTAGTTCTGAGTTTTGTTGCCTTTTGAAAGGAGAGGAAAGCAAGCCACATACTATTTTATTATGAGCTTATTAAAAAGGGGAAGGGATAAAAAAATAAGTTATCAATGTTGTACCATTATTCTCTAGGAAGAGAGGCATAATTTAGCCTAAATATTCATGGGGGAGGGGGTGCTTTAATTCCCCCCCCCCCCAACTAGAACTAGGTTAAAACTGATGGTGCTGAGAATAAAAAAGTTTTTTTGGAGTTCAACAACTGACTCTTTCTTGGCCCTTAAAACATCTCAGCCAGTGTCATTCAAATCTGGACTATTTTTAAGCTTGACCTTTGACAGGGCTTTAGAAAATCTGGTCAGGATGCTAAGACAGTTGCCAAAAAGAGAAGAGGGCTTTGAATTTTAAAAACTTAGAGAAATAATAAGATACTTTAAAGCTACTAGTGGCCTTTACAAATGTAAAGTTAAGAGGAGAGGAGGCTGGAGAGGATGGGACCAGTTTCAGGGGGGGAAAAAAAAAAATCATCTGACCAGGCCTCTAAAACAAGCCTGTGAAGGAGGGAATGACGGTGAAGACACTGAAGGGCCCTTTGGCCAAGGCAGTCCTGAAAACGTGTTTACGGGTGTTCTTGGGTGTTTTCCATTCTGACATGAACATTTTAAATGGTAAGAAATTCAGGTAATTTCAGGGAGTGTTTAAGTGGGGCATGGGAGGGGGGCGAGCGTGGGTCAGTGGGGAACAAGTTCCGTTGGTTCTTGGGCCATTGGATTCAGGGGGCAGGGGAGTGTGGCATCTGCTGGGTCCACTTGTGTGGCAGACCTGCCCCGCGGAGCCGCGACTTGAGAGAGTTCCTTAGCGGAAGTCAGAGCCCGGGCGGCTGCAGCCACCCCCCGACCTTTCTGAAAGGGGAGGGTCGTGTGCTTCCCCACCGCCTCCCGGTAGCAGTTTCATTCCTTTGCTTTTATTTTTAATTTCCATAATTGGCGGCTTCAGCAATGGCTTTGGGAGGCAGTTTGCTTTAAACGCGGCCACCTACTCCAAAATGCCCGGGTTATTTTAGGAACCCTGCTCTTGCCCCCCGGAGCCCGGTTCGCAGGACTTCTTTTGGACGGGTCCAGGAGGCAGGGTCCTTCCCGAGTCGCCTCCTGCGGAGGTCACTTTTGTGCGCGCAGGGTCGTCCCCAGCGTTTGTGAGTAGCATATGCATGTGGTTGTGCTGACTGCACTCGCAGGCTTGTAAATTTTCACCCTGGGAAATTAGCAACAAAGCCCGATCTGTCTCGCGGCTGCTTTGCACTTTCCGAGGGCGGCTGTACTTGACTGAGCTGCAGAGCAGGCACCGGAGAGCGAGCGAGCGAGC